TCTTCACCCTCTCAGACATAGTCCTTAGCCGGCTAGGTTTGGGGTTTCATGGATTTAAAGGGTAGGAACCTTGGGGAACAAGAAGGCTTTCCTGGGCCTCTAGTGTCCTTTCTGCCCTACCTAGGAACTTCCCATACCCTCGCTGAACAGCTCCCATTTCACCTGGGCCAACAAACAGTGCAGAAGAAATGCTGCACCCTGCTGGTCATTTCTGACTATGGCCACCAGGTGTCAGACTTTGTCCAGAAGGGAAGACGTCCTCATTAGTCCCTAAGAGCCAAATGCTGGAGGTCAAGGAAAGTTGGGGAGAGACCTCCAAGTCATCTCTGAACTACCCAGGCTAGGGACCCTGAGGGTTAAGATCAAAGGACTGAAACTCAGATCCACAGCTCTCTCACAATTCCCTCACTGCCTTTGCCACTACTCCGTCACAAGCTTTCCCTCCTACTAGGAAATGCGGACACCAGACTGAGTCAGGGAGTTCAAGAATTGAGAGAACAAAGGCAGGGATAATTATGGCTCCAGAGAAGAAGAGAGAACTCGGAGGGAACAACTATCAGAATCTGCAGCCAGGCTTGAATCGCTGACCTTTGTATTCTAGGCTAAGGGGAACAGAGGACTGCCCTCTCTGCCGGCTCCATTTTGGATAGCTGTGGCTTTGACAACTGGTGACTGTGTTTGTGTGAGATGAACGCTTCAAAGAGTTTCCTCGTGGCTGAGGGGTCCCTGCATCCTGGCTATCGCGGCTGAGGGGGTCCTTGCATCCTGGCTGCTGTCATTCTCTGGTGAGGGGTCCCAGTATCCTGGTTGTTGTGGATGAGGGGTCCCTGCATCCTGGCTGTTGTGGATGGGGGGGGGTCCCTGCATCCTGGCTGTTGTCACTCTCTGGTGAGGTATGATGAATTGCCCTTACCCAGAACCTCCTTATTGCTAACTCAATCTCCAGGGAGCTGCCTTTTCTCCTGTGCATCTTCTCCAAGGACATAAGATGACAGCGAGGTTTCCATATGCACGTGCTGTCTGGAGACAAGGAGGAAGCCAAACCCTTTCATCTCCACTCTTGCTCCTTCTCCCGCTGAGGACACAGGACTTCTGGAGACAGCGCCCTGCCTCTATCACACTGGAGAGGTCCAAGTAGATTTGCATGGTGGTTTCTCAGTACCTGGGCTTCTGACTCTTCAGACCACACTTAAGAGTTGTAACTTGCCAAGCGCTGGCGGTGCACGCCTTTAATCTCAACACACAGGAGATCTCAGAAGCAGGTGGATCTCTGAGCTCAAGGCCATCCTTGGTTTACACAGTAAATTCAAAGTTACCCTGAGTTACGAGAGACTGTCTCGAAAAACCAGGAAAAAAAAAGGAAGGAGGAAGGAAGGAAGAAAGAAAGGAGAAAACTAAAGCTCTGAAAAGCTCTCTGAACCTGCTACTGTACGTCTCCCCACCCCAGCTTTCTCTAGGTGTGAATTCCAGTGCTCCCCCCATGAAGTATCGCTTCCCGTCCGTTCCCTGCCTGTTTCTTCTGCTGTCTACTCTGCTTGTAATGTGTGGCGCAACAGCTCAACATCTCCATTTCTAGCACCCTAAAGTCCCTCATGTCTTGACTTTGCTATTCCTGTCTTGCTGGTCCTTGGTCTTGAAAAATGTCCTCTTCACTGTGCCCCCACCTCTTGCCTAGATGCACTGTGTCCAGAAAGAAGTACTTTGTCCTTAGGGGGAAAGGAAGGAGCAAGAGTGGAGATGAAAGGGCTTGACGTCCTTCTTGTCTCCGGACGGCACTGTGTACTGGAAACCTCACTGTCACCTTATGTGCTTGGAGAAGATGCACAGGACACAAAAACCCGCACCTAGGAGAAAAAGCAGCTTCCTAGAGGCTAAGCGCCTGCACTGAGGAGGCTCTGGGGAGAGGCGAGATATTTCTGGCTTGGTAGGAAATGCTACGAATGGGACTCACAAGAAAAACGTGTCTGCTAAGAGCACCTGGTTCTTCCCAGAAAGTTTTTGGATTCTCTTCAGTCTACAGCCCAGATCTCTCCATTCTTCAGCTACCACCTCCACATTTGGTAATAACATGTTTAGAACTCTTTAAAACAGACAAACAATAAGCCTTCCTTGACCCTGTCTCTTTACTACAGGACACTGAGACTCTGGATTTACTTTGGCTTTTGTCACACTGTATCTTTCTCAGATTCACATTTTGGTGACTGCCTCTTACCTGCTGTTTTAAAGGTTCCTATGGGGTGGGCATGGTGGCAGACTCAGGACACTGAAGCAGGAGGATCATTGTGTTTTAAGTGAGCCTAGTCTACATAGCTCCCTATGCCCCAAAACAAACAAGTTGCCTGTGGTTTCCTAACTGCCTGAGCAAGTATGTTTTCAGAGGCATTCATCTGGCTGCCTAGAGTCCCCTGAGCTGAACTGAGCTCCAGCAGGGTGAGTGGCAGGGCCTGAAGAAGGGGTGGGTAGGTAAAAAGAGGGAAAGAAATGGGGTGTGCCTTACATCCCAACTGAGCCCCGGGCAGCTGCTCTCCTCCCTCTCTTCTACCTGCCCCATCTCAGCTCTTCCTGGCTCTCTCCATATGACCCATGTCAAACTAGGGAGATGGGCTTTCAAGGTGTGTGTGTGTGTGTGTGTGTGTGGTGCTGACCATACCCCCAGCTGCCACACTGAGAGAAGCCGTATTTAATCTGCTGTCCACTGGAGCGGTCAGCAGAAACCTCCACTTCCTTCTCTGTTTGCTGGAACATGAGGCTGCTGATCAGCTCCCAACTTCTAAAACGCTCTTGTTTCAGACAGTCTTTCCACCAGTTTAAATCAAACACCAGGATTTTACTGATGGGAAGATGCTAAAACACTATCAGGATGTATGGCTAACAATCCTGGAGTCTGTCTGCCTGAGGAGACTTACCTGTTCCTGCCCTGTCTTTTCCACCTGTCCAAAATCTTCCTGCCCTCTGAGAATGGTTTTGAATCCCACCCTGTGCCTTTTGCAAAGGGTGCACTGAACGCTTGCTATGTCAGGCACTTACATACATCAATGGCTTTAGGTACTGCTTCCTTCCCAAGCAGTCCCAGCCTAGACCCTTCGCCCCATTAGCTACAGCCCTCTGTCCTAGACTTCCATTGGCACGTGTCTGCCTGCTTGACTTCTTACCTTTCTTAATATTTATTGGTTCTTTTTCCATCATGTGGGTCCCAGAGATAAAACTCAGGTTGTTTGGCTTGGCAGCAAGTGTCTTAAACCACTGAGCCATCTTGCTGGCCCATTGCCTAGGTCTTTCTACATTTAAGCAAATCTGCCTCATCACACCCCAGCATCATGGGAGATCATCCCAGTACTCCCGTTTCTAAATTGTTTGTTCTACGTTACAGAATACATTAACGAGAAACACCTTTAGGTTGGGGCCTGAGCTGGGCACTGGCACAGAGGGAAGAGAGCAGAGCAGAGCATGGTGGTGTGTGCTTGTCATCCCAGCACTGCAGGGGTGGGGGCAGGACTGCAAGTTCAAGGGCAGCCGAGGCCACAGAGGGAGAAAAAGCTGGGATGGGAGAAAGAGGAGGGAGAGAGGGGAAAGGAAGAAAAAGAGAGGGAGAGAGAGGAGGAAAGAAGGAACAAAGAGGAGGATACTAAAGAGAAAGACCTGGAACAGAATCCTTGCTTTCCTTATTGCCTTCCTCCTACCCCATGTAATATTTTTCATGTCACAACTCCTTTTCTCCTGTGCATAGAGAAAGGCCTGGTGCCCTTTCAGGTCTCTCAGGCAAAGAGGCAGAGTCCTGTGAGTGTCTGGTCAGGTATCCCAGTCCATAGAAGCAGGGCATGTTCCACTTGGGCCAGCTCACTCTAGGACAGGACACTGAGGTTGATTAGCCCATAGGCTGCAGAAGTTCCTCTGCCCACACCCTCACTTCACCCTTTCCTGGGGGCTCATGCACTTTCCTCTACATCATGTGAACGTACTTCTATTCGGGGAAACTGATCTTTCTTCCCAAGTAGATAGCAGGTTTCACAGTGGCAGGAGCCGAGTTAGGCCTGAGTCTTCTTTTGGCTTCAATATAGGGAACCAGCACAGTGAAGGGCAGGTAATTAGGTCTTTAAAGTATCTGTCAGCTGACTGGCACTACCACCATTTGTTACTTCCTTGCTCAAGGCATTATCTTTAGGAGGTTCTTCTCATAAAATAGCCATGTGTTTCCTGGGATCAATTAACCCATTAATTTACCCAGTAGCTCATAACTAAAATGTCATGACATAGGGATGTGTTTCAACTAATCTGTAATTACTACAGAGGTTGCTGCTATAGCCAAGCACCTTTAAGATTTCGATCACCCTCTCCAACAATTGCATAAGCATATTTAATTATCCCCACTTTACAGATGGGGAAACCGAAGACAAAAAAACTTTGTCTAAGGCTGCCCAGCTAGCGGGCTATAAAGTGACATTGGAACTGAGATTATCCCTCCCATCCATCCAATTCTCCTGCAATCCAATACGCATTCTCTTCCTCCAAATAGGCTTTTACATTGGAGGGAAAAGAACAGATCCATAGCAAAGAACACAGATGTGGCTAGTGTCCATTACCCTCCCTAGGAGAAGACTGAGGTGAGGGCTCCAGCAGGCAGCCATTGACGGGAGCCTGGGGGAGTTTGAGACTGAATGTCTGGGGTTAGTGATCAGCAAGAGTCGGCTCTCCCCACTAAGTGAGGGCTGAACTAAAGTGGAAAAATTCATGGCCAGACAGACCTGGGGACCAGAAAAGCAGTCCAGAGGCAAGGAAGACAGGCAAACACATAACACACACAGCTTCAGGAGGACCAAGACATTTCAGGTGTGGCAAAGGAGTGGATGGGTTTCAGGAGCCTGGGTTGCACAGGGCCACCAGACAGAGCCTGCACCCCAAGCTCTGTGTACCTCCAGATATAAGGAAACAGTGGGAATTGACAGGCAAGGCTAGCATCACCAGCAATGTGCCCCAGGAAGACTGTCAGGTCAGGCAGAGTCCAAGTTCTGGGGAAAGCATTTTATTTGTTAATACAAGAATAGAAATTCTGCAATAAATATCATCTAATAAATAACATCTCCAAATAAATAAATATTAATACAACAAACTTAGAGTCATGAGTGGGTGGGGCTGGGGATAGGGCCTGGGGAGCCATCCCCCTCACCCCACAATGCTACTGCAATGTAAACTTTCAGGAAACCCTGTGGCTATGGCTATGGCTGCCCTCCCCAGGCCAGGCAACCACAGATACCCTGGGAAAGGGGGCAGAGAGGAGGCACCGAGATGCCGGCAAGAAAATTCAAGGCGAGGTCCTGATGCTCAACAAAGCTTTCCATTTCCGCCCTGTGCCACCAATCACCTTGGTGACTGCTGGGTCTGGTCCGTCCCTGCCCACCTCTCTTAGTGTTACATCTTCTGGCTTCTAGGCCACCTCCAGCACAGACCCTACCCCTCACTCCCTATCACACCCTTCGTCAGACTGATCATCTTGTTTCCTGAACTGGATATGTAGTTACTGGGGTAGGGGAGCAACACCCATCCAAGGAGAGGGAGGGAAGCCAAGGGGCTTTACCCCAGAAAGGCACATGCTACAGTGGCCCCCACCCATGCCCTCCAGGTGCATTTCTGCAAGTGCCACCTGAGGAACTGAGTGGGCACTGGCAAGTGGTGAGCAGAAAACAGGGAGCACCTTTATACCCGCCTGAGCCATGACTCCCTCAAGCATGACCTCTGTGGAAACAGGATGGTGCCACCTTTTCCCGAGACCCTAGGACTCTAGAGTTAGTCAAGGGACAGGGCTCACACTCCCCACCCAGGGCAGAGGAGGACAGAGTTCCCACTGTCTGTTTCCTGGCTCAACAAACGTTGGTATGCAGAACTTTTCACCCCAGAATGGAAGCACAGCTGACTGGGGCAGGGGGTCTGGGGGAGCTAAGGGTCAGAGATCAGAAGCCATGGGCCTCCAAGTGCAGGGTGACCGAAGCTGCCGGAGACTGCATCTTCTTCTTAAGCCGGTTGAAGTCCTTGGCTGAACGCCACAGCCAGGTCTGCAGCTCCTTCAGCAGCCAGAAGTCATCCATCTTTTGGAGGAAGTCACTGTGGGCAGGGCCAGGGGCCCAGGCTGGCTCAGTCCCTGGCAGAGGCTGGGGCAGTGGGTAGCCAAGAGCTGCCATGACACCTGCAATGCTGCCCAGCAGGCCCTGGAGACTGGTACAGAAATGGGCCAGACTGCGCCGCAGTTCAGCCGTGGCAGCTTGACGGTTGAGGCCACGTAAATAACACAGGAGGTGGCTGTAGGCCTCATAGTTCTGGGTCAGCCGCAGTTTGTCATTGAGGCTTCGCCACACTTCCAAGTTGACAGTGGCCCTGGGCAGGGTCTCTGCCCCCAGCCGAGGAGGGTTGAAGTCAGGCTCGTTGAAAGGGGGCCCCAGGTAGTTCAGCTGTGAAAAGGAGAGCACGATGGGGAAGGAGGAGGGCAGACTGGTAGCCTGCCACCAGAGAGACACCTCCTCCCAAACATGGTAGCCTTCTTCATAGACCTCCTGAGTTTTTCCAGCAAGTGTGTCGTTTGCATGGAGGTGACAGGTGAAGCAGTGGGGTGATGACCTCTCCTATGGAGAGGTGCAGAAAGAGAAAACCAGGAAGGAGCCACTCAGGAAGGATGTGCTGATTGGCTGGGCGGAGAGTGCCCACCACAGGGCAGGGCAGAGAAGAAGAAGACCCCGAGGAACCTGGAGGCCAGGCTGGAGAGGCAGAAGAAGGAGGCCTCTGAGCGTGCAGGCCAGAGAAGAGCTCAGGAAGGCAGCTGCAAAACGTGAGCGTGAGCCGCAGAGAATGCTGTCGGGTTTGGTGAGAAGATGCCTGGTGACCTGGGAGAGGCGGTTGCTGTGGCCTGGAAGCCAGATTGCAGGGGGTTAAGGAATGAGTGGGTGGAGAGGAAGTGGAGGCAGAGGGTGTAGACGACTCCTTCAAGAAATTTGGCAGAAGATGTCCGGAGAGAAAGGGTCGGGAATTAGAAAGGGTAGCAGACTCAAGCAGAGGTTTTCTGTGCAGGGAAACCAGCCAGAGGAGAATCTGTATCAAAGGCTGAGGGGTCCGGTGGCACCAAAACGCCTCTTCGACAGACCCGGTTCCTCAAGCAAAAGGGACAAGGGATAGCAGGATACTCACCAGCACCCCAGAGAAGAGGACTCAGCCACTAGGAGTAGAGCTGTGAAAGGGAGAAACTGAGGACATCTCAAGAGGGGACAGGAGGAAGGGCATGCAAGGCTGTACAGTATAGGGAAGAGGGCAAAGCCCTTGCCAATGCCTCAGGGGATCGGCCTGAGGCCCAGGGAAGGGGATGTGGGAGATGTGCATCTGGGAGGGGGAGAGAAGAGGGGCGAGGCCTGGGATAGGCAAGGGCCCAGGGGGAGGTTCACACGCTGACAAGCGCGGAGACAAACTAATTTCCTCGGTGTATCCTGGGGCTGGAGCCAGCTCCCCCCGCCACCCTCCTCCCCTTTTCTTCCCTGGCTCAGGAGTAGGGTCTGGGATATGGAAGAGGAACACGGGAAGAGGGGGCCTGTTCCCCATGGTCGTCAGCGCCTCCTATCTTCTTCCCTTCTCTCCTGGGCTCTATGAACCTCTCTGGACTACCCTCAAATTCTTATGGTATAACCACCCTCCATATTCTGAACCCCTTGCTGTGACTGCCCTGGATTCTTTGTAGACCTCTCCTACAACACCCCCGCTCCCCAAGAGGCCTGTGAAGGATGGGAGAGGCAGACGGAGGGAGGCCCATGGGTCTAGAACAGCAGGGCCCCAGGTCTGGGGGCAGAGTCAAGCTGGAACACAAGCATAGAAGGTGGGGCCCCTCCATCCCCACCCAGCCCCGCCCTTGCAAGAGACACCACAACACGGTGTAAACAGAGGAGACTTCCCCAGCCCCCAGGGGGAGGCAGGCAGCTGGGCTGGCAGCCAATGGGGCAATGGGCCAAGGCGGGTTCGAGGCCTGCCCACATGCCTAGTCCTGGGGCCAGGATGGGGGTGCACCTGAGAGGGAAGGGCAGGAGATAGGCCAGATGGAGAAACCGTGTGGACCCAAAGGGCCTCTCATCACCCAATCATTCACCAGGACCCCTGCACCATGCTCTCTCTTCCTAAAAGCCTCTGCTCCCTCTTTACCTGGTGCCCAAAGTAAACGGACAGGATACTCACATAGGTCCCAGCCAAGCTGCGGAGTTGGTGCTCCAGGTAGCGGGTGAGGTCATAGGTTTTCTGGATGGAGGGGCCAGGCCCTGGATCTCCTGTGCGATTAAGAGCTGGCACTGCAGGGAGGTGCCACAGCACCGTGCATAGGCAAGCTAACATCCCCCACGAGTCCCCTGTGGACAGGATGGGCAAGAAGTATGAGGGTGGGCCCAGGCCCAAGTGGGGAAACAGTTGGCAGCCCCTCAGGTGTCTGTCCCCACCTTGGGCTAGGAAGGGGGGTGAGGCTGAGAGACCGGATGGGAGGTGGAGGGGATGGAGGAAGGGAAACAATTCTGGTCCAAGAGCGTGTGTGGAGGTATGTATGCAAGGACAAAGTCCTGGCATTTGTGTCTATCAGTAGATGCTTGACTGCATCTGTCAGCTGAGTCTCTGGCATGTATGTCACTGCATGTGCCAAAACTGTGTGCAAGCGTGTACTCAGAAGGGCAGACCAGGCGTTAGGGACTGTATGACAATATGCCGGAGTTCCAGGCGTGTCCCAGCCTCTTCTCCATGTCTCCTAATTCCTACTGCAGCAGGAACAAAGGGCTGGGAATATGGCATATGTTAATTCTGGCGAGCTGTGAGCAGTGAGCCCTGTGGAAGAGTGAAGAGAGAGGCTGCGACCAGGAAAGGCAGGAGTAGGGTTTCACAGCCAAGGTCAGGGTGAAGGACCCAAGATGGTTTGGGGAGCAAGAAGTGGTATGTACTAGGATATAGGGTGTGTTGAGGGTCTGATGGAGTTATCTGAAGATGTAGTGTTCCCCTTGGTAGCAAGTTTGATACTCCCCCTTTTCTTTCCCTGCAGTGCTAGAATCAAACACAAGGCCTGGACATGCAGACAAGTGCTCTACCACTGAATTATGGTCCCAGCTCTTCTCTGTTTTTTGAAACAGGTTGTTCCTAAGTTGCCCAAGCTACTTGTGAACTTATAATCCTTCTGCCTCAGCCTCCTGAGCAGCTGGGATTACAGGCCTGTATTAACAGGCACTGCCAGTATCTGCCCTATCTTTGTCTGGGATGCTGGAGGGGACACCAAGGGGAAAGAGGTACAAACAGGCAGCCTGGTCCACAGAAGACAACGGAAGGCTTGATTGACCCAGAAACCAGGAGCCAAGGCCCTAGACGGGCCTCTGGTCAAATGGGAAGCACTTTTCTAAAGGGCTTTTTAAGTGAGATCCAAGATCAAAATCATCACCCATCTGGGCTAGGATAGGGTAGGAATATAATTAGCTGTGGGCTAGGCTAGGTTTAAGGTCTAGGCTAGTCTTAACATTTCAGATGAATTTGGATTTGGGATTTGGTTGAGTGAGTGTGGTTGAGATTTGAGTCCAGGAAGGGGATGTGGTTAGGTTTAGGCAGGCAGAAGGTTAGCTGAGACTAAGATCTGTGAATTTGTTGCTTTACACGTCAGATAGAATGGTGTTTGGCATGTCACAAAAAGCAGGGATAGTTTGGGTTTTAAGCTTGGATAGGTATGAGGTCAAGTGGTTTCTTTACTCTAGTTTACATTTTATACTTCCGGATTCTTCTGTAACGACACGTCTTAGAAACAAGTGGCTAGGTTTAACAATCTGACGGTAGTCAGACTCAGGTAGGTTTGGAGTGAAGGTATGAAGACTAGACTAAGGTTAGAGTCTGTCATTAGGAGTCTTTAGAAGTCACTATCCAGGACTGTTGTCACATACAGAATCCAGAAAGCAGTTGAGGATTTTTGCCGTGGCATTGGTGCTCCTTACAGACTCTCAGGTGCTTGACTAAGTCAGCTTTGCAGGCGGAGCATGGGAAGAATGTGTATCCAGTCACACATAGGAACCCGTGTCTTTGAATGAAAGGCTCTTAGCTTGTGTATGTGTGCATATGTGCCCAAGTTCACATGTGTTTTCAGACAGCAGGATCAGACACTCAGCTGCTTCCTGGGCAAACAGGTTCCACTTTCCTTTCTTCTGTGTTCCTTCCTTGGTCCTTTCCAGCCCTAGTTCTTACTAACTTTGTTTTACTTTCTAGTCCCTGATTACTGAATCCCCAGATACGTCCAAGTCCTCTGTACCAAGCCCTGGACATCTGGACAAATGCCCTGTAGATCCTGTGGGTATCACGGAGGGCCAGTTTGAAGACTAGAACCATGAGTTGCACAGCCCTCCCAGCCACAAGACAGTTTTTAAGATGAAGTATGGTTTTGCTGGAAGTTAGTGGCATTGCCAAAGTCCTGCCAAAGCAGAAACTGGAGGCTTGGCTGGCCACTTCACCCGAGCCTGCCAGAGGCAGCCCTGTCATCGGGAATCCTGGACCAGGCTGTCTGTCCCATAACGTCAGGAGATCCACCTGAAGCTTGTTTCCCCCTCCTTTCCTGGGCCCTGTGGATGTCCCTGGGGAGAAAACTCCTTACACGGGGACAACAGGGGGAGAAGAAGCCTTTGGATAAACAAAAGCTAAGTCATCTGGGCAGAAAAACGGCTCATGAAATTAACCAGACTAGGCCGGTGTTTCCAGGAATATTTCAGTTCTGAGGTAACTGTATCACTGCAGGCTTTGGGGGGGGGGAGGTGGAATGACAGGGGAGAGCAGAAGGAGCCTACTGACCAGTCCTGGAGAGAAGCAGAAAGGAGCAGCAACCGGAGGAATCAGAGTGGAGGCCAGTAGAGGAGAAAGGACAGGCGAAGCACAGGACAGCTGCCCTATGACAGCTCTGATCAAGCCAAGCTGGAAGGCCTGCACAGAGAACACCTGAGCTTAGTGAGACCACGGAGCCAGGGGCTCCCAGTGCTGAGTCCAGCTCTCTGCTTCCCTCTATAGCTCACGGTATGCAGGTGGACCCCACCATCAGGCTGCATCCCAGCCCCCTCCCCCAGCCCCGGCCCTGGCTGCTGCCCACTGATTGTTTACATCCCCTTCTCCTTGTGTTTATAAATCCGGCTGAGCACGTGAGGAGCTAATGAGTGCAGCTCACGTTTCCTGCTGCAGCACCCCTACACTCCCCATACTGGCCCCTACCAGGGCCAGCCCCTAATTCTATCCAGATCCCTGGGCCCTGGGAAACAAGGCCCCCTCATGCGTGCGCGCGCGGGCGCGCACACACACACACACACACACACACACACACACACACTCTGCCTTAGCCCCATCAAGCCCAAGGGCCACCCCCACATGCTACACAGACAGGCCTTTAGCCAACCTCCCCTCAGCTCCTGGCCCATCTCATAGGCTGACCACCCTCAGTGAGGGTGGGGGGCTCAGCAGTGCAGATGTCCAGGGTTGAGGGGGGAGACTGCACCTGGGACTAGGGGCTAACAGCTGTACGTCCTATAGTTGGGTCCAGAAGTTCTATAGTCTAGGCTGAATATGGGAGCCAGAAGAAAGGTCCTGCCCTCAATTCAGACCAGAACCAGCATCCGGGTGACCTTGGAGAAGTCCACTGAGGGGAGCTGGGGGGAGTAGCCGAAGAAAGGGTGTGAGATCCAGGGATCCTACCCAGGGACAGACCTTTCTTTCCATCCTCAAGACCGGCTGCCCCTTTCTATTTTTTTCCTTCCTTTGCTTCTGTCTTCTCAGGTTCCCTTCCCCTAAGGTTGCTGAGGAATGGGAGCGTTGGTGGGAAGGTAGGCCTGGAAACCAGGAGACCTAGCTGACAGTGGGCTTCCATAAGCAGTCAGCGCTGTGCCTGCTAAAGTTTCTCCCAGCCGAACATTTGGGGCTTTCCACGTTCTCTCCAGCATGCCCATCTTTCTCATCCTCTTCCTTTCTAGTCCAAAAGATAGCAGAAACCAGGGGCAGGGGCAGGGAAAGGAGCAGAAGGCAATGCCGATCGATCCCTGTGAAGTCAGTCCAGGAGCCGCGCTTGGGCTGAGGAAAAGCTGCTCCGATGTGCCTGCCACAAGAGGGCTCTTGAAGCACTCAGGGAGATCAGAGGGGAGCCCACAGTCACAGGCTGAGCAGCCCACTGAGGCCAGAAGCCGCCGGAAAAGAAACGAAGGAAACAGTTCAGAGCAAGGGTGCGGGTGAACTGGAAAGGGTGCTGTGGCCAGAGTGTGCACGAGGGTGTGGGAGGGGTTGCAGAGTGCAGGAGCCAGGGTGTGAGCAGGCAGGTGGGATTCTGGGGAAGAATGTGAAGTGTCAGGCATCAGTAGCTAGTGTGTAGGGGTGGTCTGCACAAGCGCGAATTGGACACGACAATGTACAGCCCGGGGGCCATTACTCCAGTCAGCAGACGCTTCTGGGGCTGCCCAGTGATAGTGGCCGACGGTTCTAGTTGTTCCTCCTCTATGGTGAAGAGTGGCTACGGGGCACTAGAGCTAGAGGGGTGCGCCTTGTCTGTCACGGAAATAAAAACTTGTGTTCCGTGGTTGGGAACGAACGGTATGGCAGCGTGTCCTGGATTGAAATGGGTGCCTGTCAGAGACAATGAACGTCGGAGATTTCCCTAGGTCAGATTCCGGGGGCGAGAGAGGTACACCTGATGCTCTCCACCATTCGGGCTGCCGCTACCATGCCTCCACTGTTTGCCCTCCCTCCTCCTCTGGCAGGTTCTTCCTGCCCGTGGGCTCTGGAGAACACAGAAACTGGGGGTCTCCAAGAGGGAAGCCTCCTGCAAGCCAGTGTAATAGAAAGGTAGGTGAGAACATGGGTGTGGGGACTTTGGAGAAGCTGCGCGGACTTTGCTTGAGGGGCTCAGCCCCGAGAACTTGGGTGGTGGGAGTTGGCAGTTCGCTGGCCCGACCTCCCCGACCGTGACCTCTCGATCCCGGACCCCTCCCGGCGGCGGTGGCGCCTTCCCCTTGTGTGGCCCCGGCGCCCCCGGCCCCGCCCCCCCCCGTCCGCAAGGA